GAGGAGGGTACACGTGATATATACACATTCAGGCCTGACCCTTAAAAGGTCCTCACTTGTGGTCTCTCTATCCCTCATTTGCAGAGCTAGAAATGGAGGACCCCAAGATGGCGGACCCACAGGATGGAGGAAGCTCAGATCCCTGAGCGCCTGTGTGGAGAAGACATGACAAAGAGAGCTGCCCCACATGTTTTGGACTTGGTGACAGTAAGAAATAATCGTTGATCATATTGAGCCACTGACATTTCGGGACTTGTTACTTTAGCATAACATAGCCTATCCCGACTAATTCACAAATGAAAACCAGCACAGGGGCTGGATGGGGAAACTAGCGGGTCGTGACGCAATGCACATTCCCAGTCAGGTGGAGACGAGCACCATAAATTTTCTTCACTAGGAAAATAATTGTCATAATTTAAAAACATTGACTGCCAATTCCCCTCCCCCCCCCAATTTCCCACCGGAACTAGACGGTTGTGACAGCATGGGGCAGGTTTTGTGACATGAAACCCTTCGTCTGAACTTTCTGGTCTTCATAGAGCACTACTGTTGCTCTGCTTCCATGCCCCAAGCTTTGCATGATTCTGCGGATTAAAAACATCTTCTCCATAAATTTCAATAAATTGGCAGTGATTTTTCTGCAGTGGAAACATATTCTTATTTAAAATTGCACGTCATGGCATGTATCTCATCTGGGGACCACCTGTCAAAGGAGGCGGCCATTTGTAATTAAGGGTACACAGAGTCCTAAATGATCGCAGCCAGTCCACGTTAGAACCTGACCACATGTGTTTAGCAAAACACCACACTCCCGGGACCAGGATTGTCCTATGCCAATGGGCCAGAAATTAACCCTGTAAAGCTCTGTTTTGAAGACCCCAGGGCCTTTGCATATACTATTCCCTTTGTCTAGAATGCTCCCTCTTCATAGAACTAGTTCTTCTTCCAATCTCTTACCAAATGTCACCTCTTCAGAGATACCTTCCCTGACTATTCTTTCTATAAAAGGTACCCCCTCCCTTAATTCTCTATCTCTGTACCCTATCCATATCCTTCATAGTAATTATTACAATCTATAATTTGGGTGGGTTATTTGTTTACTTGTTTATTATTCATTTTCTCACTCCAGTCCAGTTTGAAGGAACCGGGCCAGTAGTCTCTTCTGGAACCCAGAACTGAGACTACCTGCAAGGTATGGGGTAAGTCATAAAATCAGGGAGAAAGCAAGGTTACAAAAGGAGGAGAAGAAGAAAGCTGGTGTGCAAAGAAGGGCAGAATAAAAGGGCCTGGAGTTCTCTTGGCTCCTACTGCTCCAGTTCTGGTTCCAGCTGCATTTCCTTCTCCAAAAACTTCAAATAAATTCCCCTTTTGTGTTTCAGCTAGGTTGGGTGGGTTTCTGCTACTTACACCCAGTCTGTCACTTAATTAACTCAGAGGAAAACAACCAAATAAAGAAGCAAGGTCCCAGTTTAGTTCATTGCAATTTATTTAATTTAAAAAATAAAAACGGAAACAAAACAAAACGAAAAATGAGAAACAAAACAAAAATCAGTTTCCAATGAAAATACACACACTTTGGGTGGTTATCCAGCTTTTTCCCCCCTGTAGGCTGTTCTGGGCTCAAACCAATCAAATGAATGAAAACCAATTTTGACTGGAGCCATAAAGCATGTTGCACCAATTAAATTACACCAATATATTATTATAATACCTTTGAAATGCCTTTCAGACCAATAAATAAAAAAAGACAAATTCAAATAAAAAAGTCAACTTTTTATTACCAAAAAAAAATAGAAATTAAATAAAAGTCACAACACGGATTTTAAAAAAAAAAATGTGCAGTCAAGTTTCTCTCTCTCTCTTTTTTTTTTTTTTTTTTTTTTTTTTTTTTTTCTTCTTCTAGGAATGATACCATGCCAGTAAATCCCTACAAAACATTTCCAGTTTGGCAATAAGCAGTCAGTCGATCATTCACATTTGTACTCAAGACAGCAGGCCAGAGCAACACTCACCTGAATTCCCCACCCCCCGCAAAGGGCTCCCCATCATCTGAAGAAGCAGCACCTTATAACAGGGATGGAAAGTCAGAGAGCACTTAGCATTTTCATCTCGCCTAGGGTCTTGAAGCACTTCCTGAAAACTGATCATGCCTTAAAATTTACCTGTAAAAAGAAGTATAATTCTACTCCTTTGGCAGATGTGTAAACTAAGACACCGAGAGGCCCACAGAGGCAGGGAAAGGACCAGGACAGCTGACATGGATTCTCCTGCTTGGTCCACCAGGTCATGAAAGTGTCTCTCACCTGTAAATTCCATGGAAATGAATCGAGCATGACTTCCTTGGTTGGGGATTGACTGGTAGGGACGATAGGACTTAATCAGGAAGCAGGGGAGCTGCCCGTCAAGAGCTCTTCTCTCTATTCCAAGGTTTTCCTTGAAAGGACACAGTCAACATGGCATCTAGAATCACAGGATGTTAGCAGAATGTCGGAAGCAGGCAGGGCCTGAGAGACTGGCTAATCCACCCCTCCAGCCCTTGCTGAAGGGAGAATTTAGCCCTCAAAACACTGCAGGTGCCTAAGGCCATCAACTGGTTAGCAGCACACCAGGACTCAGCTCAGAACCTCCGCCTCTGAGTGGAGGCTGTCTTTGCCACAACCCACTGTTGGTGTTTATTGACAAAAGAGAACATGCAGGTGTGGGGCTTTGGGGGGAGGGGGAGAAGCAGAGTGATGTTCCTTAATAGTGTCATTTTAGAAGGAAGGAAAATATTAAACAAATGCAATCACTTGGCAAAAGGAAAAAACACATCAACCAGTAGGTAGGCGCTATACCTTCGTAGGTGTCATACCTTAAGTCATACTGACAGCCACCAACTAGGCTGGCCGAGCTGCCACGCGTGACGGACCAGCAGTGTGGCAGTATAGGCTGTTCAGAAAAGGTTGCATGAAATGAGACATGGAGTGGGGAGCTCACAGGCTGCAGGATGCCCTCCATGCACCCACACATCCCCCACACACAATTAGCTATCTACAGATTTTTTTCCCTTTGAACCTATACTGGAGTTCAGGAAGGAGGCGGCATTGAAGGAAAGAAAATCGAGAAGCTTCCCGTAATGCACCACTCAGCTCAACCTGAAGGCACGCACAAGCCACAACCCCAGAGCTAGCGACAGGGGACAACTGGAGCCATCTCCTCAAGAAAAGGGCAGTTTCATTCCAATGACTGTTCTCAGTGCCTTAAGGTGAATTCTTTCTCATCTCTTTATGAATGACTGTCTATTGGTTTTCCCAAAAATACCCCCGAGACTAGTCTTCCTCATATATCTATGTGGCTACCAGAGGTTGGCCATCTTGCATCAAAGGGTTCAATTTTCCCAGGCCAGTAGGATCTGAAGTCATCCCAAATTCCCCAAAGAAACCACGAATTCCATACCCAGTATCTGAAGATGTCCCACTGTGAGACTGACATCTTACCACCGGCAGTCTGGGGCTCCAGAAGTTAAATACTTAGTTATATTACTTTTTAACCAAAGAGTCCTGCTACACCTCTTTCCTACCTCCTCCAGAACCATCTGGATGGCTCCTTGGGAAAGGTTCCCTCTCCTGTACGCTTTCTCCCAACCCACTCTGCTCTTTCAACACCTTATTCATTTGAATGGATTCAGCTTTCTTTTCCCCCAAAGCCTAGGAGTTCAAACCCATGACAGAATACTTAGATATGGGCGGGGGGGGGGGGGGGGGGGGAGGGAGTACCTTCTGCCTAACTTTCCTTTTCTCATCCAAATATCCCACCAAACACGAACTCCCTGGAAGCAAACTCACCTGCCTCTGCGGATTCCACACTCGGTGGATGGGAACCCATCTGCTATTAGTAAACAGGGTAAATGGTTGAGCTCGTGACTCCTATGGCCACATCACATCCAATTCGTGCAGGTGAGAACCCCAGAGGCAGCATTCCAGTTAACAGTGAGATGTTAAAGAAAGTGACAAGTTGCCCCCTTGCTGGTGAGGATCAATTTCCATTCATCTGCCCAAAGACCACAGAGGGTCCTGAGCTCAGTTACACACCATGGTTTGACCTCTGATGCCACCAACTTTTTCCCTGTCCATCCTCGGAAGGCTGTGCTGAAGAGCAAGGCAGACATCAGGAAAGAAGTGGCAGACGGCAAAAAAAAGCCCCCAAATCACCACGGGCTGACTCTTCTAAGTCCTTAGCAGTGTTCAGAGCATTCTCCTCTGACCGAAGCCCTGTCTTCCATTCCAGGTAGACTAGCAAATTAACAAAGGTCACGCTAGCGGCATGAAGGACAAACACAGAGCCCACAGGATGCCTTGACCCAACACTCCCAGGGCTGAACTGGGTCCAGGATGGCGACTACGTGGCTTGGGCACTACCACCCTCTCTTTCCAATCCCATGGCACCACTGCAGTTCAATCACGACACTCCTTCCCATTGTGCCTAGGCGATTCGAACCAGCACCCCCAGCAGCCACTATCAACAAATCACTGACTCAACTTCAGGTTGCGGAAATCTACTTGCCGACCCCATGCAGTCAGACCAAGCCTGCCAATGTGAGGAGGAGAGAAGCAAGCTCTGAGCTCACCCCAAGCAGACGGCCCCAGGCTCTCTTGCCCCTCCTCCAGAAGCATTTGGATGATGTTTAGGGAAACGCCCCCGCTCCCATATGCTTCCTCCCCACCCTCTTAGCGCTGGCCACCACCACCTCCCCCGGACAGCCGGTCCTCCGAGAGGTGCCGCAAAGTAAATGCCAATTCGGACCCAAATTCTGACTGGCAGCTGGCAGGACTGGCAGAGAACCCACTTCTCCCTTTCAGGTGCTGGCGCAAGGCTGCGGACTTGGCCAAGCAAGATGGTACCAATCCTTTTTCAGTCTATCATCATGGCCAGCAAAGAGGTAACCAGCTCACAAGCACAAGTCATTGCTCCCACTCCTCCCCCAAAACCCACCCACAACCCACCCCCTGCACCCTGGGGAGCTAGTTAAGCTTGTTGCAGATCTCCAGCGCTTTCTTGTAGACCTGAGTCACATCGTCCATGTCCACGAGGAGGGAGAAGCTGCTGTCTCCCAGCCGGTTCCGGTACCGCTTCAGGTACTGGGGCCGCGGCCGGTTCTGGAGCCCCTCAAAGTCCTGGATCTGGAGGAAGTTTTCAGCAGAGACGCAGCTGCGGATGCGCTGGCGGGCAGGGCGATTCTCCTGCAAGTCCAGCAAGTCGAAGGAGTCGCTGGACAGGACGCTGTCGTCACTGATGACGCTGGAGGGCCGGCTGTAGCTCCGGGAGAGGCCTTCGGCGGGGACGCCGGGCTCCAGCAAGGATTCCAGTGTGGGCATTTCGGGGCTGACGAGGGCCGGGTCCATAGTCCCTGCTGAGTACTTGCTGCTGTGTTTCAAGATGCCCTTCCTGCGGCAGGAGAGGCTGTGGGAAGTGCCCCTGGCTGGGTCTGGGGGGCTGGGCGATGGGATGCTGCTGCCCAGCCCATCGTTACTGTCCAACAGCTCGGAAGATTCACTGCGCTCTGGGGACGAATAGTACCCCGATTCTCTCTGCTGGGTCTTCTTCAAGATGCCCTTCTTGGGCATCGTGGCCGACTGCTTGGGGCTGAGTTTACCGGGCACCTCTGCCTCAGGGGAGCTTGGGAGGGGCACACCAGTCCGACACAAGTCCTGCTCCATCTTGAAAGCAGAGGGCAAGGCAGGGCTGACCACGCCTTCGATGAAGCCCGTGCTGTGGGAGCGATGTTCACTGTTGCTCCGCTTCTTCAGGATCCCTTTGGGCCTCTTAGAGCTCAGCTTGGATGGGCTTTCGGGCACCGAGTCCTGGCCAGACTGGGCAAAGTCATTCTCTTTCTTGGACTTTTTCAGTGAGCGCTGCCGCTCCAGCATGACTTCTGAGGCCCCGGGTTTGGCCAGGCCCTTCATTTTGGCTTCAGCCTCAGCCTGCAGCCCCGTGGAACGGTGATGCCAGTCGATAATGCGAGCCAAGAGCGGTGACTCGGAGTTGTGCAGTGCATCACAGTCACAGACACTGCTCTTGTAGCCCCAGTTCACCCACCAGTGGTTGGCGATGTCCTCAATGGTGGCCCGGCGATCGGGGTTCACCATCAGCATCCACCGAATGAGTCCTCGAGCGTCTGTGGGACAAGAGAAGAAGAATGATACGTCGCACGGAAGCCTTTGGCCTTGACGGGGCCACCACTGTAGGGGTAAGGAGACCCCACTAGGGAATGGGAGCCAATGTCTTCCAGACAGTACATCAAAAGCATCATCAGGACGCAGAACCACAGGCCAGTGCATTGTCACATCTTGGCACGTTTTTGCATAGAAATAAAGGAATGTCCTAGAACTACCAAGCTCTCCATCAGCTCAGATCTTCATTAAATGGGGAAGTCCAGGTAACCAGAACAGATTCCAGACCCGGCCCCAAGCAGGCCCCACCATTCCTTCCGTGGCTATCGTTTTACCAAAAGGGAAAACAGGTGGAGGTTACCGAGGCTTTTCTTTCGACCTCCAAGGTAGGCTCGTGGAAACACACCATGCTCAAGGTCATGGGGAAAGTGTGTCAGCATGAAAAGGAAACTGAGGGCTGAGATGGTGAGAAAAAGGCTCCTCATCAGAGAAGGAAAGACAGAGAAGGATGGAGAGGGGCTCACATCTGGCATACCTGGGCAGGGAGAGGGGCCATCCCCAAGGCTGGCCTGACCCCGGGCCTTGGCCAGGTTCTGAGACCCACACCCAGTGAGCTCACCTCTTCTCCCTCTCTGACATAAGCTGTCGCCTACCGAGCTGTCAGATCTGAGAGCTCATCTAGATCTGCTATCTGCTAATAGCCTGGCTGAGACATACCGTGTGCAAATCTCTGCTGCCAGAGGGTTAGGGGAAAGGCCCAAAGGGATGTTGAGGAGGCCACAGGAACCAACTGACTCTCACAGCTTATAAATTGACTTTTCAGATCAAACTGTGCTTCCCCCAATGGGAGTTGAATTAGATCCTGGGAAGGATCTAAACTTCCCAGGCCCCACCTCCCCCCTCAGCTGCTTGTGTAGGCTAAAGAGTAGCTGGTGGGGGCCAGGCAATGAGACCAGGGGTGAGCTACGCCCCTGAAAAGCAACAGGATGATCGTTCCCTTCAGACACTCAGGAAATATCTTCTAAATTCCTGCAATGTGCCAGGAACTGTGTTTGTGTGTTGGTTAGCCGATGAGGCAAATAAGACCACCGTGAGGGTCACCTGGAAATTTCTTAAAAAAACCACCAGGCTGGCCTATTTAAATAAATAAATAAATAAATAAATAAGCATCTACATATATACATATATGTATAACACAGTAGTCAAGAGTCAACCCTCATTCTTCACAGATTCTATATTCTCAATTCTCCTGCTCACTAAAATGGATTTGTAACCCCAAAACCAATACCCGGCCACTCTCCCTGTCATTTGTATACATTTGCAAAGTGGCAAAAATTTGAGTCACCCCCAGCCTGTATGTGTGTTCCCAGCTGAGTTCGAAGGAGGCGATGACGCCCTGCCTTCTTGTTTCCACCCTCATACTGTAAAAATGTGTACTTTTTACAGCCTGTAATAGTCCATTTTTTTCCATATTTTTGTCCTTGTTTTTTGGTGATTTCACCGTGTAAAATGCCCCCCCCCACCATAGTGCTAAAGCACTGTCTATGGTTCTTAAGTTCGAGAAGGCTGTGACACACCTTATGGAGAAAATACGTGTGTTAGATAGGCTTCATTCAGATAGGAGTCATAGCGCTGTTGGCTATGAGTTTGATGTTAATGAGCCAATAAGATATTTCAAATGAGGTGTCTTTAAACAGAAATATACATAAAACAAGATCATATGCTGATCAGTTGACAAAAATATTGTGACCAGAGATTGAACCCTGTATTTCCTCTCAGAGTCGTGCTTCAGTATTCACTACCTCAGTGCTCAGAGCAACTTTGTAGAACGTAACTACTGGGAAGAATGAGAATCCATTGTGTGTGTGTGTGTGTGTGTGTGTGTGTGTGTGTGTGTGTGTATAGCATGTCTATCTATGAAGGTCTGTGTTAACTACATTTCAAAGATGTGCACAGACTTTCCATCCACACATGACCTTCTCCTATCAAGGGATGAAGCTTATGACCTTGGCTGCTTTGACCCACAGAACATGGCAGAAGTGACATTATCTGGCTTCCCGGTGCTGACATGAAAAAGGCCTGGAAGCTTCTTCTTTCTCTGTCTTAAGAGCCCTGAGCTGTCATGTTAGAAGTCTAGGCTTCCTCCTGGAGAGAGAGGCCTGGGGAGGGACTTCGTGCAGGGGAGCCCACATGGAAGGGCAGTGAGCAGGGGTCATACAACCAGACCCAGCCAGGTGGCCATCTGAATGCAACTGTAGGAGAAACCCAAGCACAGCCAGGAGAGCTCTAGCCAACCCAGGGAATCGAGAGATACGGTACCTAGTTGTTGTTTAACCACCGAATTTTTTTTTTTTTATTGATTACTCAAGATTTTATTTTGTGATTCCATTTTACTTTGATATGAGAAGAAAAATCAGGAATTGAATTAGATTTGTTATCCAAAGTAGTAAAACAGATCGGAAAAACTTCATGAAAGAAGAAACATTCAGAATCCTTCATGACCCAGCAGCTCATCTATTTTCATCCTAAACATACAGAGAAAAGAACTAATTCAGAAACCACTAGCTGGATGCGTTTTGATAATTGTTCGTGAGTAAGAATATTAGAGACCCAGCTCCTTCTAAACCCTTACGTAGCTACTATTTCTCGAGGTGTGTATAGTTCTTCTCTCACTTCTGATCGGTAACTATAATTCATGAGAGAACGCCTTACTCTGTAAGAGTAAATGTCCCCTGCTTTTGTATATTCAGCTCAGCTGAATTTGTTAGTGCTGTCTCTTACAGGACAACTGGTGAGGCAAAAATTTAAAAATTGGATATATTTAAGGCGTATAACATGATTGGTATACATACACATGATTAAATGATTACTACAGTCAAACCAATTAATTCATCTCCTGACATAGTTAAACTGTGTGTGTGTGTGTGTGTGTGATGAGAGCATCTGAAATCTATTATCTTAGCAAATTTCCAGTATAAAAAAGAAAGAAAGAAAGAAAATAAACCACCAATTTACTTGGAGTGGTGGGGGGAGGGGTAGAGTTGCTATAGCAATAAATGATGCAATAAATGACGCCAAGCGCCATACCACATGCCCCCGGGGCACAGCAGTGAAAAAGAGAGGTTGCCACCCTCCTGGCACCGAGTCTAGTTGAAGGTGGTTTATATGACTGCATGGGCTAGAAAGGACTTCATAGGATATCTCTTCCAAAACTAAAAAAAAAAATGTAATGTTTACTCATTTTTGAGAGAGAGAGAGAGACAGTGAGCATGAGTTGGGGAGGGGCAGAGAGAGACAGACACAGAATCCAAAGCAGGCTCTAGGCTCCAGGCTGTGAGCACAGAGTCCGATGCAGGGCTTGACCTCATGAGCCATGAGATCATGACCTGAGCCGAAGTCAGACGTTTAATCGACTGAGACACCCAGGCGCCCCTCTTCCAAAATTTTAATTAACAGTGGAGAGACTAAATCCAAATGGTAAGGGACTTGCCCAGGTTCGCGTAAGCAGGACTCCCAGCCTGCCTACTGTATAGAGCATTTGCTCTAGAAATTCCATTTGGGAAGGTTTGGGCAGAGCAGCGTTATCAAGCCAGCTTTGCCAAAAGGCAAAAATCTGAAGAGGAAAAACAGGAGACTCCTTATAGACATTCAAACAGAAGCAGCAAATGTGAGCAAAGGCAGGACAGCCAACCACTCCCGCTCGACCTCTGACCCTCCAAGGGCACCGCACCTGAGGGCTGCGTGGGCTCCCGGTACTCTCCACTGCTGATCTGCCGAATGAGGTTTTTGTGATCGAAGCCATCGAAGGGCATCGTTCCATAAACGAGGGTGTAAAGCAACACGCCCAGGGCCCAGCTGTCCACCTGGAGCAGAGAGACGGGGTGTACAGGAGCTCAGAAGCAGGTTCCAGGATGCCTTCCAATCCATCGGCCTCACTGCCTGTGAGCAGCCACCCACAGCGACCCCAGGAACTGAACGTAGCCCCTGGCAGACAGGTTCCCGCCCGCAGCCTGACAACTATAGGCAAGGCAGCTGTGGGCTGCTTCAGAGCCTGACCTTTCCATTTCCAAAAGAGACCGACAGTACCAATCTACGTGAGAATTTTCTTAAAAAGATTATCTTCTTGGATCCTCAGTATAATGTGAAATAGGCAGGGCCTGGATTATATTCAACCCCATTTGACAGATGAGACTACTGAGGCACAAGAAAGCCAAACGATATTTCCCCAGAGCCCCTCTCTGCCAATGTGATGGGTACAAGACTGGGCCATAGGACCCTTCACTCTGAATCCAGGAATCAATTCCTTCCTGCACCTTCTTCAGATGGGTCAGGGGCTAAAGACTCAAATGCTTATGAGAGCCAGGCACGCAACAAACATGAACAAAGCAAGAGAGAATCTGGGGTATGGCGGGGAGCACTGGGGACGGAGACAAACTGTAGAGTGCATTGATCCACCTTACAGAGGCAGCCTCCCCTTGGCAAACTGCTTCCACATAGCCGGGCGAGCCCAGCACTGCCAGATCCTCTGGTTTTTCAGGAGAAGTCAGAAACTGGACTTTGATGTGAAATCTCCCAATTATTAAAGGTTTGGTCAATTTTCTTTTAGAAAGACTAATGTGGCCAAATAAAGCCTGCTTGCTGGCCAGATCGCAGGCTGCCAGCTTAGAACCTTGGAAAGAGATCATCGAAGATCAAAGAAGCATTTATTACCTCTGATAAATGTAGTGTGTCAGGTTTTTAGAGTTTTGTAAATTGAGTCTGATGCTCCTTCCTTACACTCTTATTTTAGAAAGACTTTCTCTTCACTACAATTGGTAGGGGGCCTTGGCATCCTCTTTCACCCTTCAGCCTTGCCTTCAAACACTCTCAAAGAGATAAATATTTGGAAGGAAACATTTCAACCCACTGAGCAGCTGCTATTTAAGGGATAACCAGCGGGTGGATCTCTCCATAAAGAGAACCTTCCTTTTAAAGAGAATAATCACTCACAACTCACGCATTTTCAAAATAGCATTTACACATACGCATCTCTCACAGTGGCCCTGAGAGCCTTTAGGCATATAAAGAAATAAACACATTTCTCGTGAATTAGAAGGTGCAGTTAAAACTGTAATTCCTTAATCAAAAATACATGCTGTCAAAAATACATGCTAAAAGACAGTCACTGCAGAGTTAGGGGTTTGGGGGTTTGTTTTTTGATTTGTCCTAACAGGGAAAAACTAAAAACAATCTGTCTAAATCTAGGGAAGTGATTAAGTTATGGTATATTCGTACAATAAAACATGTCTTTATCAGAAACCATGCTTTTAAGTAATAACAAATTTAGAAAATGTCACAATATGATTTTAAGCTAACAAAAAGCCAGACACACATATGTATACACATATATATAATGACTGAAATTATTTTTTGAAATGCAGAGATCTACATTGGAAAAAAGTCTAAAAGAGAAGTCACAAAAATGTTAAGGTAACTTTATCTTCTGGATTTCTCAAATTTTCTCCCAGGTGTCTACATTATGGCTTTTATAATCATATAAGGAAAAGTCTTCTTGCATGGCATGCTTTTTTGTTTGTTTGTTCTTAAGTATTGCTTAGATCCGATTCTCGCCCTCCCTCCTCCCTTTCCCCCCCTACCTCCACCCCCCACGCACCAGCAGCTTGCTCACCTCTGGCCCCCGGTAAGGTCTCCCATTGACAATCTCAGGAGAAGCGTAGAGCGGGCTCCCGCAAAACGTTTGCAAGAACTTGTCCTTCTGGTACAGGTTAGAAAGCCCAAAGTCAGCAATCTACAAAGAGAAGCAAGGCAAAGGGGGGCCTGTTAGTGTCCCAGTGAATGTCTACATTAGATCATCTGAGCACGAGGGCGCCTGCGTGGGTCTGCGGCTGGGTCACCATTCTCTCTCCGGTCCTTAGTCTTCATAAAGGAAGGAGTCCACAGGACCGGGCCAGGGACTCCCAGCTGCAGTCCCTGCCACCCACCACAACTCTGTCACATCCGCCCACTACATGCTCTCTTACTTACTCAAAATTACTCCCCGCGTGGCCTTTATCTTCACTGCAGTTTAGGCCTGCCCTGAGAAACACCCAGGAAATCACTGGCTTGATGTTTCTGATGCACAACGAAGTTCACAACTATTAATCTGGAAACTGCCCATCTGTGGCCCAGCTAAACTCACTCTGCACCCACAGAGCGTATCACACGTTGGAAAACCCCGACCAGTGCCGCTGATACCCCGGCATTTTCATCTGCCCGCACTCTGACCAGAACCGTATTTTGCCAAACCTTGTGACCCTAGATGAAATGGACCCGGAGCCCTGGATTTTGAGTCATTGTACAATCAGGCCAAGCTCTGCTGCCAGCCCTCTGTGCGACATGGAACAGGTCCCTTAGCTACTCTGAGTTGAACCACCAGAAAATGGGAACCCAGGATCCTTTCCTGTTCTGGATCACAGGATTATTGTGAGAATTAAAAAAAAAAAAAATCAATCCAGATGAGAACATGAATGTAAACCTTTAAGTCTTCAAGCTCCACGCAAATGTTTTACCCAACCCTGGTTCTCTGGTACAGCACATCCCTTAGAATCACTGTCTTCTGTCCTGGTTTCATTACCCTCTATGGCAGTACTCTTCTCTGTGTGTGTATGCGTGTGTGCATCGTGCATAAATATATACATCGCATAAATACACACCCATATATACAGATAATGTACATTTATGTACGTATGTATACACACATGCCGTATATATAACTTCCCCTTGCCTGTTAGACTCAGTCCCCGAGGCAGGTTGCATGTTCCACGTCTTCCCTCCCCACCCAACGAATACTTGTCACGCCAATAGGCAAAATATTTTGAAAAGCACAAGGTAATTAATAGAAAAATGAAGAAGGTGGAGGAGGAGGTGGAGCAGGAGGGAGAGAAGGGGAAAAGGAAGGAAGGAAAGAGGAAAGAGAAGAAGAAGGGGAAGGGGAAGGAGGGGAGGAAACTTGCACCACTTACTGAACAACCTCCAAGTATCGAGCACTGTTCTGAGCACTTTCCCCTTCTCTAATCTCATCCAAAACCCCATTTACACAACAACGCAAATGTACTTCATGCCACTGAACTGTGCAGCTAAAAAGATGGTTAAAGTGGCAAATTTCATGTTATGGATATTTAAACACAATTCTTTAAACAGATGAGGAAACGGGTTTAAGGAGACGAGGTGATGCATCTCAGGAGAGCTGACTAGTAGGCGGCCATGGAAACCCCGTGCCTCTAAAGCTTCAGTCCACTGCGTGCACAAGACCACCCCCCGATAATCTGCAAGCTTCGCCCCAGCCTTCCGAGCTGAGCTTCTGCCATTCTCCGAGCCAATTTCCATTTGGGGCTTATAAATAGGCTGAGTGATTCACATGCCCAGAGCTCAGCCTGGCCCCAGTGGCGCTGAGGCTCTGTCTTGAATGCAGCCCCCAGAATAAGGCTATTTTCTAAAAGTTGTCCCTGAATGAATGAATGGAATGTCATTGAAAGCAGCTGGTGTATAACCACGCTCAGAAAACGCATTCTCTGGGCTCACATTGCACTTAATTGCCCTGAATTCCACTTTCTTATCAAGGCCTCCGATTTGCTTGCAGGAAGTTGGTTGGAAGCTTATGAAGTGTGCCCTGTGGATCAGGAAAGGAAGGGAATGGCTGGATGCCCTGGGGCCTGCCCCGAAGTCCCAGGGCTTCGGCCTCTGCAACTGCAGCCAAGGCAAGGTGCAGACACAGCGGAGTGTGCGTCCCGAGGAAAACATATCCCCTTCCTACCCCGCGATGTCCACGGTTGCCAAATACATGCGTGAGAGGCACCCACCACCATGGCGTGCAAATCCCTGCACGCACACACTCGCACCAGACTTCTCTAAGTCTGGGCGCCCTTGCTTTCTGTGCAGCTGTCCTGAGAAGCATGTTTATGTTAGGGACCCCTCCCGTCCTCTCAGACTGATGCTTATCAGCCTTACCCAGTAAAACTGTCATTGCCACTGACAGAAGATTTATAGAAATGTAGATTAGCCCCGTGTTCTTGGCACTTCAACGGAAAAGAAATATTAATCAACACACACACACACACACACACACACACACACACACACACACAGAGTTCTTAAACCTTGAACCACCTAAACTTAGGCTCCAGCTCATACCATCGGGAGTGTCTATCGACTATAAGAGCAGAAATGGCCACTGGTTAAAACTTCTCAAAGCCTCAATTTCTTATCTGTAAAATGGAGGTAGGGAGGTGCCTGGGTGGATCAGTCGGTTGAGCGACCCGCTCTTGGTTTTGGCTCAGGTCATGATCTCAAGGTTCATAAGATCGAGCCCTGTGTCAGGCTCGGGACCAACAGCAAGGAGCCTACTTGGGATTCTCTCTCTCTCTCTCTCTCTCTCTCTCTCTCTTCCTCTGCCCAGTTCATACTCTCTCTCTCTCTAAAACAAAATAAAATAAAATAAAATAAAATAAAATAAAATAAAATAAAATAAGAGTTAGGAACAGTACCCACCTCCACAGTGTCATGGTGAAAATTACATGACAAAAAGTATGCAAAATGCTTAGGACAGACATTGGCACAGAGTTGGGCCTCCATAAATATTTGCTCCGCACCATTAAATCTGTATCCATAGCTTTATCAACCTCACGATATTCAAAACAATACTGGCCTTCCAGTTCAGGAAATTATTTAAGGCCCCTTTTTCAAATTAATACATTTTTTACAAGTGAACGGAACAAAATAAAACTATGAAGTAAAATAGCACAGAAGATACGAGGGAAAGGCAGAAACCATGAAGACAGTGTAATAAAAAAAATCTGGGAGGGGCGCCTGGGTGGCGCAGTCAGTTAAGCATCCGACTTCAGCCAGGTCACGATCTCGCAGTCTGTGAGTTCGAGCCCCGCATCAGGCTCTGGGCTGATGGCTCAGAGCCTGGAGCCTGTTTCCGATTCTGTGTCTCCCTCTCTCTCTGCCCCTCCCCCGTTCATGCTCTGTCTCTCTCTGTCCCAAAAATAAATAAACGTTGAAAAAAAAAATTAAAAAAAAAAAAAAATCTGGGAAATTTGAAAAACCTGAAATTTTGGAAATAGTGATTTTAAACATAATAAAACAAAAATAACCGAATTAAAGTCGTATTTTGCCGACACATCAGTAACCTTTGGAGAAGGTAACTACTTTGAATTTTTTATGGTGATGGGCTTGTTCTGCCCTGTATCGGCTCAAAATCACGTCCCCCCACTGGGCCAATACCCGTTCAGCCTGGGCCCCAGAAAAGAATCTGAGAAGACAACACGCAGGTCCTTAATTTTTGGAGTTTTTGTTATTATCAAGCCATTCTAGAGGGATGTCCTGCTGGATAAAAATCAAAGGTAGAAAGATACGGTAGGAAGTGATTATTCACATTTCCAAATAGCCTCGCTACAACACAGATGCACCTTGAAGACTCCCAGCTAAGTGAAACAAGCCAGACACGAAAGGGTAAATATTATATGGCTCCACTTATACGCGGTACCTAAAGGGGAGGGGCGGTGGTTAACCCTGGGTCTCTGTGAATAATCACTGTGAGCTCACAGGATGAAAAAGGAAGTATCTGCTTGCCAGTGGGTAAACGCTGGGGGAAAATGCTGACGAGGAGGGTGTTGGAAGCAATGGTCTGACGGTCATTTGCAGTGTCTAAGAGGAAGTGCAGCAGACTGGACAGATCAGAAGAATCTGGGGCTGACCGTGGACGTGGCACTAGCGGGTGATGGGTGGGACCTGCCACGTCACTCAGTTTCCTCACCTGCAAAACGGGACTAATAATAGAACCCACCTCGGAAAGCTGCATGAGAGAGAACAGGCACGAGAAGCCCTTGGAATAGTCCTGGGACGACAGACTCTAGATTACAGCCGTCATGATGTTGCTGGTGGTTTGGTCTGCTTAACAATTGTTTGCTAAGAAACAGTGCCCACCAAAGAGCCAAAGGGAATTACCATCACCCAATTCTGGAATAGGCATGCCCAGGGTGGGAGGCTGTTCTGCACGACGGGAGAAGTAAGGGATGAAGGGTTTGAGGGTTTGGGTTCAAATCCCAGCCCTACCGCTTACCAGCACTGAATTTAGGCGGTTCGTTAATCCTTCCCTGCTCCACTGAAGTCCGAGGGTCGGCAGCTTCCGCACCAGCTGGGAGATGACCAATCCCAAGTGACCTGGGAAAGCTCTTAACTGAGAGCACCTCCGAGAAGCAGCTTCTCAGGGGATGCTAATGAGCAACCCATCACGGCTCACCACACACTCGACTGGGGCGTCCCTACACAGTTGCCCTGGCCATCATGACTCCGGCAGCCTGGCCGGTGGCTACCAACAGCTCTTGGAGAGTCCCTCCTAGGAACAACTGTCTACAAGCTGCCTGCAGACAAGGCAAGGCACACTGAAGCAAAGGCCAAAAAAGTGCCCGTGTGTGATGCTCGCCTAGATTTGGGGCAAAATTGGGTCGTAGTGGTAGAAGGCAGAATTTATCAGGTGCCTGGGTGTTTAGAGTCCAGCGGCCTTAGGTTTGCAGCCAGCCCCATTGCCAATATCAGCTGCAGGAACCTCCTCATATGTAAAATGGGGACAATCAGACCCACCCCAGTGGAGACATTCTGAGATCCAAATGATGTAAGGCATGTGGCAGGTCCGGCACAGGACTCCGGCTTCTAGCAGAGGCTCAATGAAGATCACTTTCCTTCCCCAGCCTCCGTGCACTATTCCTGTGCTTGCTGCTCCTTCCCTGTAGAAGGCTGTCAGCACATTTCTATCAAACTCCTACCCATCCTTCAAAACCCAGTTCAATCACCACTGCCTCAGCAAAGGCTTTTTGGTCCTCTTATAATTAACAGAATCACTACCTCCTGCTCAGCACTTCCAGAGCACATTATACGGGCACTATGAGGCACATAGCAAGACCATCTGGTCTTGAAAGGAGGATCGGGGAAGGCTTCCTGAAAGAAGAGGCATTCAAGCTGAGACTGAAAGGAGGGGTAGGCAAAGAGCAGTAGGAAGAGCATTCCAAACACAGGGAACCACGTGTGCAAAAGCCAGATTGTCCTCACCACCAGACAATTACATTCTATATCTGTTCGTCTGTTGCTTGTGTCCCCAGCTGGAATTCTAGGTCACATTCAGTACCTTATCTTCCTCACTCACCTCTATATCCTTCTCATGGCTCATTATGCTGGCTTAACAACTGTGAGATTCCGAGCTCCGAGAAGATAAGGACCTGGCCCTCTGGTTCACTCTTAAATCCCAGCATCCAGCACGGGGCCAGGTACACAGTAGGAACTTAGCACATGTCTGTGGTCGAATATGTACTGCCCATAGGACATACTCAATTTGCTCAACAAGTAAGTGCGGAAATAGATGAGTGAATGCAGCCACGCACGGAGACACGCATATACACAAACACACACGTAAATGGGTGAGTGAACAAATGAACAGATTAATTAATGCACAAATGCAGAGTTCTCACACGCATGTAATCAAAGCCCAGAGGCCATATCCTGGGCTGCCCCATTTGGCCTTGTGAAGCCTCAGAGATTTCTATCTCATCTGAGCCCTAGCCATTCAAATTTCTTTTCTTGTCCGCAGCCGCTTTGAGTCCATTGTCATCAGGGGCAACAGGCCATCTCCCCTGTGCCCCTCTACTCTGAGCCCTGGGAGCTCACCAAATTCCCAGCCCTCTTTGAGGAGGCGAGCTGACCCCAGTGCTTGGACCTCTTACTTCAAGGCATTTTTACAGGACCCTTCTATGGGAATTGTCAGCATTCCATTCTCCCAGAGAGTGGGATGTGAATCTGGCCCATTTTTATTAATTGCAAATTACTGCTATGCCGGGCGTCTATTTTAGTAGACATAGGCTTACTCCACAGAGGCTTTAACAGGCCTCTCCGCAGTACGGAATGCAACCCAAAGAGGCACATTGCTCTCATTCTTTCTGCCAACAGACTATGTGAATATTTTTAGAAGCCACGCCCTCTCACGGTGGCCCGATAAATAATTTCCGATGCCAGATGTGCCCTTTGCAAATCAACATCAGGCAGAGAAGAGGGGACAACGAGTTAGTTACCTGGCTCACACCAAAGTGCAGCGGCATGGGTCACATTTAAACCAGCAGCATGCTTAGAGGCTTCCTGGGCCAAAGCCCCCCTCCCCCACCCCCAGCCTTGGAATCCCGGAGAAGGAATCGGAACTGAGGCTAGGGAGGCACCAGCGGGGGCTGTGAGAGGGACCTGGCTGCTCTTATCCCGCTGGCTTTCTCCCTCCGGTCCAGACGCTGATGCCACGGGCTCTCCAGAACACGGAGGCCGGTGTGTGGTCATGTGTCTGCTGCCTCTGCCACCAATGCCCTTTCTAAGTATGTTTCCAGCAAAGTGCTGAGTCAGGAAGAGAAGAGCCAGGCAGATACAGCCGGAAGACAAATCAACACCAGCTGAAACGTATTTAAAAAAAAAAAAAAACCTTGGGAGTGCGTGTGAAATGACGAAAGAGAATTTGCCCAGAAGTCAAACATGTGAGTTGTAATCCTGGCTGTCATCCTTTCACCCCAAACCCGAACAGCTTAAGGGTACCCGCTGAGTGGCAAGTGCTGGGCCACACTCTGCAGAAACAGAGACACAGAAAGCCCACGTGGATTCACTGCACATGATCATGGGCATGTCACCTAGACCTCCTGGGCCTTCATCATGCAAACAAGGGGGTCAGAAAATGACCCTCAACGTTCTTCAAGCTCTAGGATTCTCAGATCCTAGCAGCATCCCTTGAACAAGCAGAAGGAAAAATTCGTGTTGGGGAATGGGAAGGTTTGGTTTCTGTGCGGATGTGGGGGGGGGGGCGCGCGCGTGGGCCCATGCTTGTGTGTTTCACCTTGGGCAATGCCAGGAGTAGAGATTCTTAACGAAAAGACAAGGAAAAAAAACATGACCGACAGTTCAATTTTATTAACGTTCTGTGCATCTGCTATTCACCTACACAAAGGACAGGGAGCGCAGACTGAAGGGCTCAGTCCTGGGAGCCTTGAGGCCCAACCCCACTGCCCTATGGCTCATTTGCATGAGCCATTCCCCTGGGCTCCTGCACCATTGTTCCCAGAACAATTGCCTTCAGAATTCTAACTATTCTTCTCCTCCATTGGGAAATTCTATGACTCCATAGGAAGCTATGTGCCTTATCACTTCTGGGACTACATCATGGGACCAAGAGGTCACATTGTCCCACAGAAGCCAATCCCCAAGCCAGAGGCTCACATTCCAGGCCTTGTAAAGACTACATTTCATTTCGAGAGCTCCCAGGGCAGGTGGCAGGACGAATCGAATCGCTGAGAAAGTTACCAGGGTGGAAGGCACAAACCCTTAGAAATGTGTCCCTCGGACAAGAACCCAATTATGTAGCCATGGCCTGGCCACCACTCCCCAGGACCCAGGCACCTTCCCAGCAGCTGACTCCCTGTTCAACGTCCTCTCCGGTGGCCAACCATTTGCACGGGTGCTTCGGACACGAAGACCTGAGTGCCAAGTGCTCTGAGTATATATGGTCTAAAATCCTCACATTTGCCATGGACTCCCCAGGACTGGGCACAAGGCATGGCACATGGTAATTGCTCAGGAAGTCCTCACAGTAAAATTGGACAAGTAGACAACAACCCCCAGAGACAGGACCAGCATCCCTACTGGACAGACAAGGAAACTGAGGCTTAGGCAAGTACTTTATCCAAAATACCATTAGTAAGGGGCAGAGTTGCAGTTCAAATTCAAATTCCAGGCTACCCAACTCCGAAGCCGCCGCTCTGAACCCTGACTCACTGCACGGTGCTCAGCAATGTATGAAGCTACACACGGGGTATCTCGCTTAGTCCTCAAAACAAGCCTGTGAGCATCACGGTTACCCCGTTTTATAGTCATAGAAGCAGGATGAAGTGGCTTTCCCGATGGCAAACAGCTAGTAAGCGACGCAGGACAGAATTTTCCAACCACACAGTCAGTGCTCCTACGAGAGTAATCCAGCCACTTTGCCAGAAAGGGAGAGACCTTGAGACTGCACCGCCTGATCCTAGGAAGAAATTGTTTGACCAATTGTTCCCTCCTTATTCTGTGGACTAACACAGAAATGTGTGACCACAGTCCACTACTCGCAAAAACAAGACGTCACCCTAACATGGCTTCTGGGAGCCTCTCAAAGGATGATGCTAACCCATGGTTGCCACCATGATCTGCAAACAGAATCCAAACTCCAAGAGAGGAAACAGTCTCCCTGTGATGCACCCCCTCAAATGAAAGCAACAGCAACAGAAAGAGGGGACGATGCGAGGTCATTCCCATGCTTTGTCCCGGGACCAGGGATGAGGCACTAACGTCACCAGCGGCCAATTAGAGGGATCCCCTGGTGGCGGGAGTACTGAGGCCATTTCATAATGAAACCCATGCGGCGGGCTCCGTTTATTTTGAAACCGTATTTGCTTATTTTGCAGACGTGATCAAAAGGACATTCAGAGAGCTCCGCAGGAGGCACTTGAACCCCGTTGGCCGGGAGAGCTTGCTTCAGCTCCAGCGGCAGCCAGCAATAACACTCTCCGTAAAAGTACGCCCATCCCTTGATGGTATGCTCCTTCCCGGCAGCACAGGCCATCATCCTGTCCGGCAGCTGCCCAGTCCCAAGGCTGGCTACGGGGGTGGGAGGGTTGGGAGGGCGACGGAGGCGGCATGGCAGTGACAGGAGGGTGGCAGGGAAGGAGTTCCAACTCTTCCATAACCTGGGACCCTGCTGGCAACTCAAGCATTCAGGAGTCACGCAGACATGGGCTCACACCCCAACTCCACTACTTACGGCTGTGTCACCTTGGGTTGGTTACTTAACTTCTCTGTGCCTCACGTCCCTATCTGTGAAATGACGTAAATGACAGTGCCCGTGTCACAGGGTTGGGAAGATTAAATGGAAGTGATATCAGGCAAGCTGCATATCAGTAACACGTGCAACCTGTTACTGTCTTAAGTGTTTTTATGGCGATGATTATAGACCATGAGCTTCCTGGGGACGGGGACTGTATTGTAGTCATCCCAGCGTGAAAATCAATGTCTGGCATCCAGTTGGAGCTGGAGAAATGCTTGTTGAATCTCAGTGTTCGAACTGAACTGATGGCTTAAGCCCCATGACTGCCTGCACCTGCCTGCCAGGGCAGGACCCAGAAGCCGCCTGATGCCTGACTTCTGGGCTGCAGCCTGGGGCTGCTTGAGCCCCACCAGCCACAATCCCCAGGCTCCGTATTATCAATCAACGAGACACGAGCTTTACCTTAATATTGCAGTTGTCATCAAGCAGTATGTTTTCCAGCTTTAAGTCCCGGTGGACCACACCGTTCTGAAACGAGAACACAGGCAGGGGACTGAATGGGATGGCTGGGATGAGATCAAGAAAGAGGGAGCAGGAGCCGGGGAGCAAAGGGAACGATTTGACAGATTAAAGAAATGCGCCAGCCCGGTGGTCTTCGCCTCCAACCTTCAGGGCCTTTCTCACTGTCATGAAGCTCTCCGCCAGCCAATGACCAGGGACAGGAGAGCATTAGTCACTTGCTGTGTGGTTAAGGGAAAAATGACTGGAATCCATTCTCCCTCAGAGCCTGTAAAACAGCAGGGGGATTCTTTGTCGGAATGTAATTCCACTGTGTGAAAGCAATATAGTCGCAGGCAGGGACAAACAATGTCTGTCTGTAGTGTGCTTCCCAGGGAAGAAGCAGATATCTCTGCTGGAGACTCAGAAAGTGGGGCTCACAGACCTGGCTTGTCTGTCTGCCTGCCTGCCTGCCTGCCTGCCTGCCCAAGGCTGGAAAGGGCTGGAAAGGGGTCTTGCTCAATCTATTCTGACCCATGAAACTAATCCAGATCTGTTCAGAGCAGAACAGTAACACCCCCATGGAAATTTCCTAAGCAGCTGGGAGGGAAGGTTCAATAAGTCCCTCTTTGCTGGCAGGACTCAGGTGATGGGAGGCAGTGGGAGGGGCCAATGAGACCCTAGCCACTGGACTGACCAAAGCGGGTCCCTGCCATCCTACGTGACCTTTCCATTCAAGCCAACTCTGGCAAGGCTGGACGCTGAAGTGCAGTGACAGGCTGCTAGCCTACAGAGGGTGAAAAGCAGTCATTAACCAACAGACTGCTGGTCTATACAGCAGTAACAACTAGTACTCATGATCCTTTGTAAAACCCAATGATCTTTTAAAGAGGTGGGTGGGCGTGGGCAGAGAGGTGGAACTGAGACAACCAGCTACATTGGGCTGGGTGCACAAACAGCAGGGAGTGAGTTTTTAATATCATTCGGCATAAAGGGCATTTGCAATCGAAGCTGCTGTTGTAAGCAAACCAACTGGCTAGAAGTTCTTAGTGTTTCATTCAAGATTTCTTTAGGGGAGCCTGGGGGGCTCAGTCGGTTAAGCTTCAGACTCTTGATTTCAGCTCAGGTCATGATCTCACGGTTTGTGAATTTGAGCCCCCACATCAGGCTCCGTACTGCCGGAAGCTTGGGATTCTCTCTCTCTCCCTCTCATTCTGCCCCTTCCGTATGCACTCTCTCTCTCTCTCTCTCTCTCAAAGTAAATAAACTTAAAAAAAAAAAAGATTTCTTTAGTTCAGAATCTGCATGTTTATAGTTGGTGCTTTATTGTTTATTTTCCTTTCCATTTGACAGTTCCTAATATCCCCAAAAGCACTGGCTGAAGACACAAAAGTTGTATTTCTGCTACGTTTTTTCTAACACAAAACTTCAAGGGTGTGTTTTGAATTCAGAAATATACAAACCAAGGCTCCTGGAGAAAAGATACAGAATACAAGCTACCCCATTTTTCTCTAGTTTTAAATATTGGGAGCAGTTTGATTTTTATTATTGCATTCTTAGTTTTCATAGTAAGATGGAATGAGTCTGATAAAGCCCCATTCATACAAAAGCCTAAGTCTTCACCCACTACAAATAATGAAAATATGATCTGTAGTGCTTTAAGATGATGCCTGATGATAAAGCATAAAATACTGTTTGATCTGATCGGTGCCTTTGGAGTCAGCAAAGTGAAGTCCAACAGTGTTCATGTGGATTAAAGGTTTTAGATTTGAATTATCAAATTTTTTTTCAATTTTTTTAATGTTTAATTTGAGAAAAAGAAAGAGAGAGTACCAGCAGCAGAGGGCCAGAGAGATAAGGAAACAGGGGATCTGAGGCAGGCTCTGTGTTGACAGCAGAGAGCCTGATGCAGGGCTCAAACTCCTGAGCCATGAGATCATGGCCTGAGTGGAAGTCAGCCGCTTAACTGACTGAGCCACCCAGGCGCCCCTGAATAATCATCTTCTAATTACTTACAGAGCCACTCTCAATTAACCAGAATATTTAACAAGCCAGAAGGCCCCATGTGGCAATCATTTGAATGAAGAAGCTGACTCTATTTTGGACGCCATGTTGGATTCAAGTCACTATTGTCCTCAAAGTGAAAGAATGTTCCTGAAATAAACAGCATGAATAGGATGGGATCATGATTAACATAATTAGTAACAATGATGGCTGAAATACGTCTTGGAATCATTTGTGCCCTTCATTTCCTTCTCCAGAGACAAAGGGTAGCCAACCTGGCTGTATCATGAGCACATCCCATATAGGCGTCTTGCAATAAAACGTACGTGTAGGTACGTAACCTTTGTGGGTGTAACCTATGTGAGGAAAGATACCAAGAGCACAGGAAGTTCACAACCAGCGGCTTAGTAATTCCACTTCTGGAATATCCCTCAGGTAAATCATTCAGATGAGTGGAAGAGGTTAATATATAAAGATAGCAATCACTACAATATATTAACCAGAAATTGGAACCAGCCTAAATGGCCAACAATCACAATAATTACAGAGAATTTTTAGTAATGTGGGAAAATGGTTTACATTAAAATACTAAGTGAAAAGGCAAGACACCAATATAAAAAATACACACACTGTGGTGCTCTGGATCCTGGAATGGAGAAAGGCCATGGTGGCGGGGGGCGGAGGGGGGGGGACTGGTGAATTCTAAATAAAATCTGTAGTTTTGTTAACACCAATGCCTGAACGTTAGTATCTCGGTTTCAACAAATGTACTGCCGTAATGTAAAATGTTCCCATTAGGATAAAAATGAATGAGGGGCAAATGGGAGCTCTCTGTATTATCTTGGAAACTTTGCTGTGCCTCTAAAATTATTCAAAATAAGAAATTCGAATAAAAAAATAGATGTTAGGAGTAGGAGGAAAAAGACTGGAAAGCAATGCACAGAAGTGTTACTTGTGGGCTATGCCTGGATTCAGGAATCACGGGGGATGGTGATTTTCTTCTATTTTATAAGCTCTCCATGCACATGACAATGAACAGATACCACCTGAATTCTATGAAAAGGATCACGTGGCACCATCAAAACCATCTGTGAGCAAAGCCCCGGCGGGGCGCAGCCGTACCTTGTGACAATAGTGCACGGCGGAGACGATCTGGCGGAAGAAGTGTCTGGTCTCCCTCTCGCTGAGGCGTCTCCTCTCACTGATGTAATCGTACAGCTCCCCCTTGCTTGCGTACTCCATGATGATCACAATCTTGTCTTTGTTCTCAAACACTGTGGGGGGAACGGCAACACACAAACACCCTGTTTATCCAACAAGCTCACTTATGACCGCGGAGGGTGCGAGGGAGGACGACGGAGATGTCACTGAGCAGGGGCCAAGAGACAGCAGTCAGGCCATTCCACGTCACGAGGGGCTGGGCGAGTGTTCCGGCCAGGTAGATGATGACATCACGCTATTGTTACTGGACACACCTCTGTAACCCTAAGGGAAAGGTGTCTCTCTCCTCCGATGGCCCCCTGCCCTTGATCAGGATCATTTTCCTAAGCCCCGCCCACCAGAACAGCCCCCTGTACGACAAACAACTACCATCTATTAACCATTCGATATGGACCAGCGACCTGGACCTCACGAGCTACTCTGAACCCAAAATGGGTGGCTGGACTTGTCACCTCTTTGCTCAAAACCTTCTAGACTTTTCCATCTCACTCAAAATAAAACCCAAAGTTCCAAATGTGGCCCACCAGGTCCTGTGTGGTCCTGTGGACCCTTCCTAGCCCTATTCCGTGTATTCTGCATATTTATTGATTTAGTCACCCCCCACTAGAATGTAAATGAGGGTTGGTCTATTTCATTCACCGCTGTATCCCCAGCACCCAGAGCGCTGACATGGGAGCTCAATGAACAATTATCGAATGAGCGAGCTCAAAACTTCCTAAATGCATTCTGGACAGTTACAGTAAATAATTACATAGCCTTTACTCTGTGCCAGGCGCCTGTAAGGTTTTGAGTGCCCCACATGTACTGACTTATTTAGATCTTACAGCAAACTTTCAGGGAAATACCAGTAATTGAAAAATGAGGACACTGAGAGCGAGAGAAGTTCGGCGACTTGCACAGTTTGGCTGAGCTGCCAGACTGGGACACGGCTCACCTCTGGCTTCTGGCCTTGGTGGGGACCTGTGATGCCATAGCCTAACGTGGTGGCATGTCAGGACCACTGCAATCACCCCCCCCCCCAGGCTGGGTTCCCTGACTCAGCCCCTTCCTACTCAACCCCCACACCACCGGGGAACTTGTTTTCCAAAATGCTTGTAACCGCTTCTCTCTCCCCAACCCTGATACTCTCTCTAGCAGTGATGTTCACACTCTGCCAGACTAAGTCCTTGAGAGGGAGCATCAAGCAGATGCCCATGGGTACTGGTCAGGGGAGGCCACAAAGCACAGGCACTAGGTCCTCGACACCACCTGCACCAAAGCCACTCTGCTGCTATCTGGGCTCCATTAGGCTTTCACAAAGATGGACATCCTTTGAGCAAAGACAAAATAAAGAATAATTGTTTTGAAAGCCATCACTCCCGAGGGACATGGTATAAAAACCTTTGTAGGGTACCCAAGACCGTCCCTGAAGGACCCCTGCCTACATCCCTCCATCTCATCAGTCTCTATCATTCCCCCATCAGGCCCCTGATGTCCACCAGTGCTGGACCATTCTTTACTCCTCCCTGTCTTACCTGTCTGGGAAACTCCAGCCTGTCTGTCAAGATTGAACTCAAATATGGCTTCTATTTTGCTTCCCTCTGCCCCTCACGGTGGCTACTTAATATGTGTATCACTTTCAAACCGCATACACTTATGTGCTGATTTACATACCCATTTCCTCTGCCTGGACTGTGAGTCTTTACTTTTAGACATAAAACGTTTGGTTTTAGAATCAGACATGCCTAAGTAGGATTCCTGGGTCTGCCTCTTAATTGCTGTGTGACTCTGGGGGAGTTGCCCGCCCTCTCTGTGCCTCAGTTTGGTCAACTGTAAAATGTAAATAACGTTAGTAAGCACTTCTTAGAACTGTTGGGAGTGTTTACTGACACTGGGTTTGTTAAATGCTGAGAACAAGGCCTGCACTTATGGCATGTGCTCAGTGACATTAGCTAGTATTGTGACTATTGATATTATCGGACCCCAGGGCCTTAGCACGGAGCCAGACTCCCAGATACACTCAATGAGAACGGAATGGAACTGGAACATGCCCCAGGCCTGGGTCCTCTGTCCTCCCACACCTTGTCACTGGCTGTTAGAAGCTCAAGCCCCTCCAGTTCCTTCTTGGCTCCTTCAAGTCCAGCCAAACGTCTCTGATAAAATGAAGGGGGAAGGAGGAGGAGGAAGGAGAACAGCCAGACAAAATTGGCCGCTTCTGCGTCTGCTGGCCTCGGGGTACCCTGCAGCCTTGGCTCCTGCCAGGGATTTCAGCCTGTTGTGCCCTTTTCATTAACAATAAACTTTGGAAACTGGAAAAGCTGCCTCGGGAGGCACGGCTCAGGCTCCAAAAATGATGGAGCGATATGTCCTGGACAGGACGGCGGGCTTTCTAATTTTAAAAGGTGGGGAAGGAAGAAAGAGGGAAGGTTCTCTGACAGGGGAATAAAGACGGAGCCTCACCCCCCTACACACAAAAGTCTGATGCGTCCCCAGGGGAGGCCAAACCACTGGTCCCCTCAGTGACTATCAGAAGGTGTGGGTCACTCGCCTGGTACAGACACAGGACCGTTTCGGTCTCTTTCCAATCGGCTGACTTGGTATCATGCAGACATAAACACACTCGTTTCAACAGTTCACTGCACCAGACATTTTCCTACACAGCTTCCATTAGTAAGCCCTTCTAGGCCTCCCTCTAAAATACATCTCGATTCTGTCCTGTCTGACGTCCCCAGCCACCCCTTGCTCTGCAGGCCCCGTCCTCACTGGTCTCCTGCCTTTCACTTTTGCCCCTCAGCTGGCTTTCTGTATTTAGAGGGGGGCCGGGGAACGGTTCCAGATGCATGTGCTGTGGAGCACAGTCCTGCAAGAGACTCTGGAGGAAAAATAGGGTTCTGCGATCAAACGTAGGCAAAATGTTTGGAAAATGCTAATTAATGCTCGATCGCCCTAGGAGAGTCTGGTTTCTTTGACTCTGAGTTTGGCGGGTTGATTTGGCCATTTCAACACCCCTACTGACATCCAGAGGAACTAACCAGGAGCCAGGCTGGGGAACAATGGGTGAATGAGATAATATCCAAGTGATAAAATCGGCCCCTCAACTGTTGCAGGCCGGGCTTGCAGGCAGCGGGTGACAGAACTGTCCAAGTGGCCACGCTGGGCTCTGCGACCCCACCCCCACCCCTCCCACAGGAAGCAGCACAGCCAAGCCTCAGGGTCAAGGCCCTGATTGCAACCCTAGATTAGCTAAATGCAAACAACAGTTCCAGACTTGGTACCTCAATGACTCACCAAGGAGGCCACACGGTGATATGCATGAAGCTTCCAGTCCCTTCTGGTAACAGCGCACTTACTGAAGGCTACTGTGTGCTGGCACTGAGCTGACCAGTGTTTTGCAGGAATTGTGTCATATGGCTTTGGTCCTATGAGTATCCTCATTGTACACGTGAGAAATTCCGGGTTCACCCAGGTTAATAACTGCCAGGGCCACAGAGAGTCTGAGGCGGAGCCAGGCGGAGGCCCGCAGTCTGACCACACACACCACGCTCTTAGCCACTACACTAATACACCTGTACGTGAACCCCCTGACCCTTGGTCTCATCAGTCAAACACAGGGCACTCCGTGAGCTCACGGGTCTTGCTCCTCCAGCGTGCTGCCTCGGCCAGTGCTCAATAAACGGGAGCTCTCCTCAGAATTACTTCATCTGCCTCTTAGCCAGCTCCTGCAAAATAAAACCCTACGACTTTGCTCTCCCCGCTGCCATCGCTCTTTAAAAAGTGTTGTGGCTGCTGCAGAATCACAAAATTTTCAAGCAGGAAGGGCCTTAGAGATCAAGTACTATCTTTTCCAGAAGAGCCCAGGGTTTCTAACATACAAGAAAGAGCAAGGCCTTGGGGGTCTGTCCTGAAGAATAACCAGCTTCCGCGCCCTTGGCCCCAGACCCCTTGCCCACGTTAAGGTCACTATCAGCGAGGTGATAGGAACTCTTGGCCATTCTTCCGGCAAAAAGGGCCGCTTCCCTTGGGCACTTTTACAACTGGTTATTTATAAGCCCAGAAATCTTGTCTGTGTTTATGTTATTAGTCACTAAGCAAAAGCTTATTTTCCACCAGTTGGGAAGGGTTTCCTTTCTGAAAAATGAAAGCCTGTGTCTCTTGGCCAGTCTTACCCAGAAGCCCAGTGGCTCCAGAATGGTAAGGAAAACTATGGCCCTTGACATGCCAGGCCTACCAGGAAAATCAAAACCCTGAATAGAAACTTAGCTCAGCTTGAGTCAGCCCACAGCACGGGGCCATGTCCGTTTGCTGCAGATCCAGGATTTAAGTGTAAGGATACACTTCTGTAAAGTACCCACGATGGGAATGGCACGGGGGGCAGGGGGGGGGGTATTGAGAGAAGACTTTACCAGGTTAAGACTGGGGAAGGCAGGCCAGGCAGAAGGAGCTGCATGAGCCAGGGCAGAGACAGGAGCAGAACCAGCAGCAGTTGGCAGGTGCTAGGAACTAAGGGACAAGAAAGGAGAGGAGGGCTATGAATGAGCCGCAGAGGCCTTGAATGCCCACAAGGAGTTCCGGGGGGGGGAGGGGGGGAGGGTCAGATATGCCCAAACATTGCTAAGAACCATCATAAATAGACGGAGCAAGGGACAGGGCAGCACCCAGGATCCTGGGCCTAAGAAATAGACCAGAGCTCCCTTCCCCTCAAGAGCCTTCCCTGTCAGATGGTAATCTCTCCTTCCTCAGAAGGCTTATTTGTGATAACAATAGTTAACACTTAGTGGACAATTACTGCATGCCATGGATTGTCACCTTTAATCCTAACAATCCTATGAGATAGGTATTAACATTATCCCTACTTCATAAATAGGGAGCCGGCACTCCGATGATGAAACAACAGGGCTGACCCCCTGCAAGGCTACATCCTCCAGGCTGAACATCCTCCGTGATGAATATCGGTCAATACCAGGGATAAATTTTGCCAATTTTCTAAAAATGGAATCATGCAGTATATCTTCTTTGTGTCCGGCTGGCTGCATTAGCTCAACACTGTAAGAATAATCCATGACTGTCCCACGTA